GATCCATCTATATCCTAAAATCTTGTCACTTTCTGGATCCATCTACATCCTAAAATCTTGTCACTTTCTGGATCCATCTATATCCTAAAATATTGTCACTGTCTGGATCCATCTACATCCTAAAATCTTGTCACTTTCTGGATCCATCTATATCCTAAAATATTGTCACTGTCTGGATCCATCTACATCCTAAAATCTTGTCACTTTCTGGATCCATCTACATCCTAAAATCTTGTCACTTTCTGGATCCACCTACATCCTAAAATCTTGTCACTTTCTGGGTATATCTATATCCTAAAATCTTGTCACTTTCTGGATCCATCTACATCCTTAAATCTTGTCACTTTCTGGATCCATCTACATCCTAAAATCTTGTCACTTTCTGGATCCATCTATATCCTAAAATCTTGTCACTGTCTGGATCTATCTACATCCTAAAATCTTGTCACTTTCTGGATATATCTACATCCTCAAATCTTGTCACTTTCTGGATATATCCACATCCTAAAATCTTGTCACTTTCTGGCTACATCCTAAAATCACATAATTTTCATGATGAATGTTAAAGACATTTTATAAAATCACTCAGTGGGAAGTTCTTTGTTGAGTCTTATATGAGAGGTACTTTTTCAATGTTCTTTAAAACAGCTTGGGCTAATTGATGATTTATTTTTATTCCCAAGAGCTGATTATATATAGCTTTGGCTTGTTAGTAAATTTAGTCTCACAAAGTGATTAAAAAACTTCTGTACTGTTAATCAAAGTGTAAGATTCATGTACAAAGATTAAATACAGTTCCTTGCTTGATTAAAACGTGTGTGTGACGTAGTTCTAGTAACTCAATTTATTTTTGATATCTTGTATCCCAGCAGGTTATTAACTTTTTATCAAACATGTTTCTTTTTTCCATGTTTAACTTTAGTAACCTAATCCTGCACATAAAAAGATCTTAAGTAATATTAAGAATGTAAGAAGGAAGAACTGTGAAATTTGTGTGGAATGTGTAATAACAATACATCATTACTGTGCTTGAAGTCCAGGTTGTTTTAACTAGCTAACTTTCATCAGAGGGAGATGGAAAAAAAAAACACCAAAAAGTTGTATTAGATACCATTTAGACCAAATAAAAATAAAACAGGAACTAAAATTCAACAGTCTGAAACAAATACAAAAAAAGGCTAATTAATCAATAAGCACTACAGTAAACATAAAATGATTGACTTAGAGAAGAATTTGTATTTATCAAGAATAATTGTACTTTTAATCTAACACTTAGTTCTCAGCAGTTTGCCATGTATTTCAGTTAAAAAAGTTAATTATTTGTTAAATTTGTTTTTCATTATCTTAAGGCAATCGTTTTTCTTAACTTTCTTGTTTCAGTAAGGATTCACACCCTAACTTCAGAAGTTTTACTAAAAGAAGAGAAATCTCTATCTGAAATTGTGGCTTCCCCAAAGATTAAGTAAGTTTTAATATTTTGTGTTATATAAATTCATCAGTTATTTTTGTTACCATGTTAAATAATGAACTTGTCAATTTATGTTCTGTCAGGATATAAAATATTTGTTTACATCTACCCTAGTAATAGTATATATTGAATAGAATATCATGAAGAATCAGGTTATTGGTATTTACTCTTCATGAAGATCTGGGATTCAACATTACATATGATGAATATTAATTAATTCAGCACAGATCAATATGGTTGGAAATCCTTTCTTGTATATTTTATATTGTTATTGGATAAGGAGGACTGAAGCTGAAGGATTTTGAGATTTAAGGCTACTGGCAGCTTTACAAGTTTCTCACAGAAAGGACAAGACTATTAAGTTAGTTGTACGGTAACTTGGATTCCAGTGTCATTTCCTCCAACAAGTCAAAATCAGGATGATGGAATACAACTCAAAGTCAAATAAAGACTGACTACCATGGAGGATATTTCCATGAAATTGCAACAAGCAGAGGAGTGATAAAGTATTAGTTGAAGATTACATGAAGGAAGTTAAGAAAAAAGGAAACTGAGGTGTAGCCACCTCGACAGACAACATTAACTTGAACTGATATTTCATTGAAAAGAACTGTGTTAGGCGCACCCCAGTGGCACAGCGGTATGTCTGCGAACAAACTGTGTTAGACTGAAGAGTTGTGTACCATGTTGTAGATGGTATTTCCTTTTGTTTCCTAACACAGTAATATTCAGGATGCTTAAGGTTATAATTTCGTAAGTTTTCTGCTTAAGAAAATATTAATAAACATTATATTTTTAGGTGATAGAAGTTGTTTAGTACAACTGATTATAACGAGTATTGTTCAAAGTTTCTTGAAGGATGCAAATATTATGTGTTTGTTGTAATGTGCTTTATTAATTAAAAATGATGCAAACTCCAGTCCTCTCAATGAAAACGAATTAATTTATTTTTTCAATAATGTTCTATGTGGGCAACAGACTATGTTCACTGGTAGGCCTAACTTACTAAACAACGTTTCAACAGAAATTCTGAAACTAATGTACACCAAACTCACAAATAAGGCTCATGTCACTTACTTGCAAAATTTCCACACTGGTTTGATAACAAACATATTGACTAACTTATAAGCTTGATCACTGATGAATGTACTCATTAAAACTCCTTTAACTGACACTGAACTCATTAATTTAAATCACTGGTTTTTATATTTTATGAAAATTTGATATTCCAGAGATGCTTAATTTTGAAACTTCCAGACTTCACACAGTTATTACATTATATAAAAAAAACTCTCTTTAGTGAACAAAATATTAACCCTTTAGGTGCATTGTTGAGTAATTCACTTTCAGAGCCAGAATTATCGTCAGCTTGCGTAAGTTCATTTGTCTCTTCAAGTGTGAAAATATTCCAGCAATTTGATGTCATTTTGGGACCATTTTTTGATAAAAATTTACAATTTTCAACTGTAAATACTACCGATGTTTTCAGTAGCACTATATTGGATAGGAATCGGCAGCTAAGGTTGTCATCTGTGCAACTTTGTCTATTGATTTTTGTGTGCTCGATACGCGTTTCAAGCAGGAAATTCAAACTGCAGTATGTGGTCACCATATGGCAATGGGTGCACTTAAAGGGTTAAAAACATAGTGTACAACCCACTGTTGTTAAAATTACAGAGAAATTAATTTACAAACTGTTATTTCACTTTATATTGCATTTAAGTTTTTTTTTAAAGAAAAGCTTATGGAGGATTGCATATCATTATTATTAATCTGATTGAGAAATTAATATAACATCGACTAAGGCGTGGTCTGAGACACTTCAGTGAATTGTTTCTATGTTTTTGTAGCATTGAAGAAAGCCTGCAGCATCTTCACTATATATTGGAATTTCTCACTGGGTAAGCATCGTTGTTTTCAAATTATGAAAAAAAACTTTTTTTAATTCTACTAAATATTTTTCTCATATCTTCTTTCTTTTTACATATGTCTTTTATCATTTTACAGCTTACCGGTTGGACAGTATTTTCTGTCACATCAGAAAGGAGAGAAAATAATGACTTTGTACAAAGCTCATGACACAACTCACAGGTAACAAAAAAAAAACACTTATTAGTGTAATGTGATCACCTACGGAATGACGGTATTATTGCAACTAAAATAGATAAACTTCAATCAGTAAAGAAGTTGTGGTTTTTGTTACTAGGATACCGCTAGTCTTTTTATTATCAATTGAGAAAGGTACTTCATATACATTCAACCAGTTCCCAGCGTTAAATTATTTCTTAATATTCTTCCAGGATTGAAATACGTAACTATTCTGTACCAACTGTCATATATATGTGTGTGTGTGTGTTGAACTCATTGTTCTGTAACTTGTGTTATATACATGTTGGTTCATTGTTCTGTAACTTGTGTTATATACATGTTGGTTCATTGTTCTGTAACTTGTGTTATATACATGTTGGTTCATTGTTCTGTAACTTGTGTTATATACATTTTGGTTCATTGTTCTGTAACTGGCGTCATATAAATGTTGGTTCATTGTTCTGTAACTGGCGTCATATAAATGTTGGTTCATTGTTCTGTAACTGGCGTCATATAAATGTTGGTTCATTGTTCTGTAACTGGCGTCATATAAATGTTGGTTCATTGTTCTGTAACTGGCATCATATAAATGTTGGTTCATTGTTCTGTAACTGGCGTCACGTACATGATGGTTCATTGTTCTGTAACTTGTGTTGTATACATGTTGGTTCATTGTTCTGTAACTGGCATCATATACATGTTGGTTCATTGTTCTGTAACTGGCATCATGTACATGTTGGTTCATTGTTCTGTAACTGGCATCATGTACATGTTGGTTCATTGTTCTGTAACTGGTGTTGTATACATGCTGATTTATTGTTCTCAAACTGGTGTTGTAATTGTATTGGTTCATTGATCTATAACTGCTGTTGTAAACATGTTGGTTCCTTGTTCTATAATTGGTTGTATAGCACTGATTATAAGTTTGTGTATATATATATTGGTTTATTCAATATAATACTGGCTTAAAACATGCTGGTATTACAGTTTGATAACACTTATTTACCAGTATTGGGTTCTGTAATGTTGGTTATTATAAGTTTTATGTTCATTGTTTTATAGCTAAGATTATAATTTGATTTGCTTGTTGTTTTGTAGAGGAGCCTTTGATCTACACACTACGATCAACCAGAAGTTGTCAACTTTAGATGATTATCAAGAAGGTAACAAAGGAGAACTTCGCTGGCTTCCTCTCGATCCTGAAGTGATTCTTCCTGAATTTCAACAGCAGAAAAGAATTCCTGTTACTTTTCCACCAAAACGTAAGCATTTATGTATATGCTTTATAATACAAACCAAGGCTGTGTCGGTCTTTAGGGTTAGTTGGTATATGTCACCTGGCCATGTTGATACCACAGTGACGTAACCAAGGCTGTATCGGTCTTTAGGGTTAGTTGGTATATGTTACGTGGCCATGTTGATACCACAGTGACATAACGAAGGCTGTATCGGTCTTTAGGGTTAGTAAGTAAATGTTACCTGGCCATATTGATACCATAGTGATATAACCAAGGCTGTATCGGTCTTTAGGGTTAGTAAGTAAATGTTACCTGGCCATATTGATACCATAGTGATATAACCAAGGCTGTATCGGCCTTTAGGGTTAGTAAGTAAATGTTACCTGGCCATATTAATACCATAGTGATATAACCAAGGCTGTATCGGCCTTTAGGGTTAGTAAGTAAATGTTATCTGGCCATGTTGATACCATAGTAATATAACCAAAGCTGTGTCGATCTTTAGGGTTAATAAGTAAATGTTATCTGGCCATGTTGATACCATAGTAATATAACCAAAGCTGTGTCGATCTTTAGGGTTAGTAGGTACATTTTATCACACTACTATAAGCTTATGATATACCAAAGCTGCAGTATCAACAGAAAAAAGCTAGTATAAGAATAACAAGTAGGCTCTCCTTCATGAGGGCTAAATGGCCATTTACCTATGATGAAGAAAAGTCCACTTTCGAGCTTGGGTTATGTTTGTTTGTTTTTCTTATACAAGGCTAGATCTATATTTAGGGTAAAAGCTTTGACATTATTAGACATTTTTATAAACCCAAAAATGACCATAAGATTAAGAAAACTTTGTGTTACTTTAAAAAAACTAGGAATGGGTTAAAATTGAAACTTTACTGATTTTGATGTATTTTAATAATACACTTTACAATCCTAAGTATTATAAATCATGATTATGTGAATAATAAACATGAAATGTTTATCAAGCTGAATTCTCTTTAAACACTGTTAAAAAAAACCAATATGAATTTGTCTTAAATGTCTGAGAAGGCATGTATAAAAACTTAGTTAAGGCAAGGTGTTTGGGTGTTAATTTGTATTTTTCTTAATTAATAAAAGTAGTTAAATAGTAATTAACAAGTTACTCTGCTTATCTTGTGTGTGTGTGTGTGTTATAAAATAATTAAGAAAAACAGAACAGTGAAGTATTTGATCTGCTTAGGTTTAAAATGCTGAACTTAATGTATTCAGATTGATCCCATTTGCCAGAGAGAGTGATATTTGGTAAAACAAGGTAGTGGGCATCAAGTATTGTCTCCCCGTTATTGAAACATCTCTTACAGCTGTATACTTTTAATACTAATTAATTTAGGGCCTTATGAGGGTTCTTACCTTATTCTTTAGCCAGCGCAATGACAGATTGTCAAGCAGTTCATCAGTTCTCCGGGAACGAGAACTTTACGTCAAACGATACTGATGTTTCCTTGTATGTGCACCGCTGCCACAACAGTTGTTTTTCATGATGTTACACTCAACATATCCTTCGTTTAAATGAGAACATGTTCAAAACATGAAAGCTTGACTAACCTGTGAAGAGAAATAATGCTCGGTACCATTGCTTCCAATTCTGG